ATACATGGCAAGTGTAAAGAGGAATCATGGTTTCCTCTAGTTAAGGAGGCAAGTTATGGGTAAATAAAGGTGGTTGAAGCCAACATGAATTACAATTAATGCAGCAAATAATTACTACCCAAGTTTAGAAGACCAAAAAAAAAAAAAAAAAAAAACATGGTCTAAGATAGAAACTCAGCCCCCTTTTTGGTAGTACCGGGGAATGAACCCTGGGCTTTAGCACATGCCAGGCAAGCACTTGCCACTGAGCTACATCCCCACCACATAAAAACAAAAAAAGCATCCCTTAAGTTTCAGAATAGATGAGTTCAAGTTGGAGCTAAAAAGATAAAGCGTTCAGGAATAGAAGATGGAAAAAGTATTCTAAAACAGAGGTCCTCAAAGCATGGTCTGAAGCTCTCTCAGTGTGGTCCCCTTAGGTATTTTCCAGAGTCCAAGAGGTCAAAATTGTTTTCATAACACTAGGACCTGACTCGTCCTTTGAGCCACCATGATATAGAACTTTTCACAGGCTACGTATGTGATATCAACGTAGATTTGCAAAACCAGAGCAATGACTCTTCTCAAATTTTTCAAGTTGTTTTTCATACAAATGTTACATTTGTTATTGTGTAATGGGAGTTATCATTAGATGAATTAACATTTAAAAACCTAGTTCTAATTTGAAAAATATCAATAGACAGATATAACCCAACTAAACAAAAACTCTGTGGGGTTTTCAACAATTGAAGAGTGTAAGGAATGCTCTCCCTCTGCTTGGACACTGCTATTCTCCAGGAGCCAGCATAACCAGGTGAGTGTGCCAGTCCTGCTTTGCAGGCAAACACACACACTGTGTGAAGGAAGGGTTTTCTCCTGCAGCAGCTCAGCAGGGGGACTGTCCTCCTGGAGACAGCAATGCCTAGATGCATTTTTGCCTGCTACTGACACCTAGTGGGTAAGCCAGGAGACTATGAACCTTCAACAAAACACAGAACCCCAGGATGGTCCCACATGTCCAGTGTAGACACTGAGACCCTTTGTCTGGAGCTGTGGTGATCCCACAGGGCACTGGGTGTCTACCAGCTGTGCAGCTTATACATGAACAGGAGCAGAAGCCAGGGCTCACAGTAGATCCAACTGCTTCTTGGAGGTCCCAAGGGCAGCAAGCTCAGGGCAGAACCTCCTAACTCCCAAGCTCTACACTTGCACTGATGATCCACTGCATAGCCTCTACCTTCCTACATACCTGGGCTCTGGGCAAGAATGGTGGGAGGCTGGGAAGATCGAACCTAGGCATGACAATTAGGAGTGGGGAATTCCATTCCTACATAATTATTACACAGGACTCTCAAAAGGGATTTTTCAAGTACTAAGAGGACTTCTTTTGGTCCTCTCCGGATTTCAGTTGAGAGTTGTATGGAAAAATGCTGGAAAGAGTGATGGAAATGAGGTACAGGAGACCCCAGTGGAAGCCTGAAGCTCAGGACCCAGTCTACAGATGGTGGCTTTGGTTTTTCATGGAGGGGAATCTCCCTGGAGGCAGCTACACCACCATACCACTTTCCCCAAATGACTCTTACGGCCTTCATCTCACAACTCAAGAGAAAACTCCTGCTACAGAAGCAATGAAGGGAAAGTCAAAAAGCATTTTGAAAAGATACATAACATGTAATGGGTATATTATTAGTTAACAAATTTTAAAATTTCAATTTTAATTTATAAAATTAAAATTACTACCTAGAACCATATAACCTCAGGCAAGTCTGACTCCCTATCTCTGGAAAGCCAGGGTGTGGTGGCAATGGAATGTAAAAAGCACAAATTATACAGAGAAAGAAGTCATTCCTAAAGGTAAGTGTCCAAATAAGCTCCCTGGTTGGAAAGGACTGTTCAGACAAGCAAAACACATGACCAGGGGACAGTACCAAAACACCTTTAGTGAGCAGAAAGCAAAGTACTTCAGAAAAAGCATTAACACTTCTGAAAATGCAACTCTGGACCCAGTATACAAATGAAAAAACAAAACAATGCAGCAACAACATCCTCTGGTCTGACCCTATAAAATGAACTTGAGGATCTCAGAGCAATTTCTGAAGATTCGATATGTTCATAAAATGTGCCTAGTCATGCTTTTCTTGAGGCAAATGTTCCTGAGATCAGCTGCTCAAAAACATGTTCCCTCTGTCTATATCCACAACATTTTCCAACTTCAAGTGACCAAGGAACACAGTTATGGCCCCATTCCTTAAAGGTGTGCTATAAAATAAACCAAGAGCAAGTGCAAGACAGAAACTTTTATTTCCAGAAATTGTGGATAAGTAACAAGTCAAATTTAAACATTCTATTGAAAGATGGGCGGGGAGGGGGATATACCAATGTCACTTAAGTAGAAATTTCTACAATGAGCAAAAGTTGCTCAGAAGCCAGTATGACCTTTAATGTTTTGTCACCCTGAAAGATATATCCTGCTGTACATCTTGTCAGAGGAATTTCTGAAGAAAAGCAAAACCTACTCAACTGGGTCACAAAAGTTAAGCAGTGTCACTTACGGCATTTTTTTTTTTTTTAATTTTCTAACCCCAAGGCTGAAATACTGTCACTGTCCTACTCTATTCTCTCTCCCACACTTCATCTTATGAAACACCCATGCCATCTAATGTTCTCTTGTTCTAACCAAAAGGCCTTCTGCAACATAAGCCAGGTGTTACCTGGTCTGCTGTGAGGCTAGAAGACAGCCAGCCAGGATTCCAAAGCACAAGGACGCTTTACATACTAGAGGTAGCACATTAAGTCAGCCACAGGCCAAGATCTTGGAATATTTTGTCTGCTGGAAATATTTCCCAAACCTGGCTGGTCTGCCCTGGAAGGGGACTCTTGCATGTGCCTCCAGGAGTGCTTGTGAAGGTGATGTGATATCAGAAAGGCTTGAAAAGCAACATGGGAATATCAAACCTATTTAAATTGTTCTGGTTAAAATATTCAAATCCAGAGTAACACTGAGAGACATAAGAGGAGAAATGTGTGCAGAAATGGTTCAATTCACCTGCATGAGTCAATCATATTTGGTAAGTGGGTGGAACTAGAAGTGAAGCAGTGAGCTGAGGGGGGGAAGCAACAATCAAACAGAGTCAACTCAAAGTTCACATGAACTGAAGAGCCTCAGTTTGTACTCCTGCAAGATAACGACACAGTGTCATGCTTAATGTGCCATGCTGCCTCTGGTCTCCTTATGAGGAAGTAGTGAAGGACCCAATATTTCAGTGTTTTTCAGTGGTAATTTCAACTCTGTGGCTCCAGCTCCTAGACAGTAGCACTAGAAAAAATACAAAAAGACAAGTGGGGCATCACACTCAGACACTGCAGGCCACTCTAGTCTACTCAACTGACAGCCCAAAAACCCAGTTCATCTCACAAACACACACAGCAGCAGTTTTGGCATCTTTGAATTACTGATGGATTTTTCAGGTTCAAACTTAACATTATTCATTTTTATAGCCAAGTTCTTTCCACTAAAATGGGAATAAAATAAATGTGCAGATTGATATTTCTTTGTGATCCTAACAGCAAGGGAAGACAGGTATATTAGCAAGAAAGATTTAGGGAACAGTAGGAAGTCTTAGCAGTTTTAATGAAAGCAACACACTGAAAAAGAAAGCATGCTACATGCACCCCTGCAGAGCAACTATATGATCTACACTCTAATAAGGGTGGCACAGGAAGTAAGCAAGTCAAATCCAAGCAGGCCACAGTAAAACTTGATTGCTGTAAAGAAAGGCTAGGGAAAGACTGGCACAAATAATCTGAACTATTGGTACTTAAGGAACATTTTCCAGTTCTACTATTTGCTCTAGGCAGGGCAACAGATTTGCTAGAATGAACCACCTGCTGCTGAGGAGGGAGGCTTAGCATATACCAAATGACAGAGAAAAGATAACCTGGGGCTAAAAAAAAGTCTACTGTACTTCCCAGGCAGAACTTAACTACTAATTTAGTTTATAGGAAAGGGTCTGATGCTCACAAAGTTAATGTCATCTACGCTAAGACCAGGGACCTCCATGATCCAGGCCTGGAGAACTGACACTACGCATGCATTCAAAAGGACCTACCAGCTCTGTCTGGGCATATATGTCTCTTGGACCCTTGGCCCTACGTGTTCTAGTTCCTGACAATTAGTCACAAGGAAGAAAAGGCAAAGGAAAGTGGTGACTCTGAAAATCCTCTCAAGGCACAACCATGTCAAGGAACACAGACTTCAGCAGGTAGACATAAAGGTTCCAACTGTTAAATGGGACCAAAGACCATAAGCAAAAAAAAAAAAAAAAAAGTCAACTCACCAAAAAAGGTGGGGGAGGGAGGAGAGGAGAAATACAAGAATCTACAAAAATACCCAAACTAGGTATATAAAAAATACCACTGCTACTGGGTTGAAAAAGGCTAAGCAACCAGCCAATAACAGAAAAAGGAAGCTTTCCCAGAACACCAGGAGCAGAGACTGCACCAAGAAGAACAAGGGTGACAGAAGCCCCTCAGAAAGCCACCTGGCAGCTTGCAAAGGTGGAGGGCGGGTAGGGGGGATCCCCAAGGCCAAAAGGAATTCCAGTCAAAGGCACCCCCTTCACAGGAGGGCTGCTAGGGTTGAGGTGGAAAATGAACTAAAAAATACCAGTTCCACAGATAAACAACTTTTGTTGAAAACCCTGGTTTTTATTATGCTCGGTTTTTTTTTTTTTTGGGTGGGGGGTAATACTTCAAATTGAACCCAAGGGTCCTACTGAACCACTGAGCTACATTCCCACCCCTTATTTATTTATTTATTTATTTATTTATTTATTTTGGAGACAGGATACACTAATTTACGGAGGCTGGCCTTGACTTGCAATCTTGCCTCAGTCCCCCACCCCAGCCCCTGGATCAGGGATTATAAGTGTGTGCCATGGCAGGAGGCTCACCCCCAGTTTTCATATTTTAAATTAAAAGCTGTTCACGAAAAACTCAAGTGAATATCTGAAGACCATTACCTCTGATTCTACTGTGTCTTGTCCTTCTTTTGAACTTTTCCCACTCTTCCCTGGTTTTGGTGGTTCCTGGGAAACATCAAACAAAAGCAATTAATTTTCTCAGTCTTTAGACTGTTAAACATCAGATAAACTACATGCAGTTTCAAAACTGATTTATATAATTTAACCAGAGGTTCTGGTGGTTTTAATCCACACCGTCAGGAAATTTACGTCATACTGTTTAAAGATACAGTACTGCGATACTACACCCCACCCACCCAAATTCGGATTCTCTGGTTTCCTTCGTCAGTATTCGGGTTGAAAACTTTAAGCAGCGACAGAGAAGCCCAAGTCCATCCAGTGCTCCTGGCGTTTCCAAAGGACCACCTCGCAGCCCTTTCGTGCCCACCCGCACCTGGGAGCGAGGATTTCTGGGGCCACCCTGACACGCTCCAGCTCCACCTGAGGCAGCGCACCCAGGCCGCCGAGAGCGCAAGCCGCCGCGCCAGCAGCGCGAGCCGAGCCCCGGAGCCCGCCCCGGAGCCCAGCCCGGAGCCCCGCCGTCGCTCCCGCGCACGCAGTTCTGCAGGCGTCGCGGGTCCGCTCCGCTCGCCGCCCGGCTCGGCATCCCTCCCGGCCGCGAGGCTGGCGGCCGGCCCGCCGCACCTGCGCCCCCGACCGCCCGCCCCCCGCGCCGCGGCCCGTCCCGGCGGCCCCGGCCCCACTCACTTTCTCCTTCTTGGTTTTATTCGGCATGGCTAGTGCGGGCCGCCGCCACCGCTCCTGCCCCTGCCGCCGCCTGACCCCGCCGCAGCAGCGCCCCCGCCCCGGCCGTCGCGCCGCCCCGGCTGCCGCCGCCGCCACTGCCGCCGCCGCCGCCCGGGGACTGAGTCGTTCGCTCGCTCTCGCTTCCCCTTTTCCAGGCTCTCAGAGGCTGCAGCAGCCGCGGCGGCGGCGGCGGCTGCGGCGGCAGCGGCGGCGGCGTCTCTCCGCCCCTCCCCCGGCCCGCCCCGGCCCGCCAGGCGCCGCCTCAAGCCCCGCCCCGCCGCCCTCAACGGCGCCCTGCCATTGGGCGATGCGCCCTCACGTGCCCTAACGCTCTGCCGCGCCGTCCCGCCCCCTGCGCGGCCTATCCCCGCCCCCTTCGCACCGCTCGGCTAGCGTCAGGCTCTGGGGGGCCGGGGTCTGAGGTGGGCGGGCGGCCGGCCTTGGGGAACCCGGCCGGGACTGGGGGTGCGGCAGCTACTGTGGTGACTGGTGACAGGGCCGTTGCCGGCTGTGAAGGTGCCGGACCGAGAGAGCCGGGGACGAGCGAGGCATGGAAATTGTACGTTTGAAATGTGTGACAATAATTTCTGCAGCCGGAGGGGCGCGAACGGCGGCCTTCCGGCCTCGTCCCTCCGGCTCTTGCAAAACGAGGGGGTCCCCACGCGGTACACGTGGGTGACCGAGGAAGTCCGGGAGCGGCGGTTTCGCAGGGCCTCTCCAGGCCCCGCCCACCTGACCAGCCCCACCCACCCTTCCCTCGCTGGCTCCGCCCGCAAACTGGGCGGTGCTGTTCCAAGGGGGTTTATTTCTTTTTTTTCTTTTTTTCTTTTTTTTTTGCTGTGGTTCTGTCTTAAGGCGCGTGAGAAAATTTCTGCACGATGACCAGGAGCCACTTAATTTCTCTTGCCTCACTAACAGACCCGGGGAGATGAATTTTTCAAGGGAAAAAACTTAACCTTTTACTACACTTCTTCCGCAGTCCGGTTGGAGCCCCCAAGCAATTTGGAGGTGTTAATGATAGATATCCGAGATTTCGGAAATGCATTAGGTAGGAAGATTGGGAGTGAACGGATTTCAAGCGTGAAAGGCATTGGGGGCTTTGAACATTAAGGAGCAGCATCTTGACTGGGCACTTACAAATCCTCTCAGCCCCCGTTTTGTTCCTGAAAGTTGCCAAGCAAAGCATTTTTGGATGTTCTCTGTTGCCCTACAACAGAAAAGTGAAAAGAAGAAAAAAAGGAAAAGATCTAAAATGAGGGCTGTTGTGGGGGGTTCTGAGATTAATTGTTGCCTGCAGGTGCCTCTGTGCTCGCAGAGGACTGTCTGCAGGTAAGCAGAAGAGTCCCAAACAGCTATCTCTGGAAAAGAAACTGCTCTTTAATAGTTTCCCCAAAATAAATAGCTAAAAACGTGAGAGGCTAGAACATTGTCTGTAGTTAATTTAATGACATTTTGAAAATAAAACACTATCATAAATCCATATCAATAGGAGTAACTAAAATTATTGGGTTTTGACTGCTGAACTCTAAGGAGGCTTGAGGGGTTCTCCAAGATAAGTCTGTGCCACTAACATCCTTGTATCACAGCCTCTGATCCAGTTTTGCACATCATTCTTGGATTTAACAGACAGTTTTTGGATATCCACCATGTGTAAAGCACGATGTAAGAGGTTCTACACTATTCTTGTTCTCTGGCAATTCACATGCTTGGATGGAAACAAGAAAACCCTCTCAGAAGTCTTGACATATGTCAAGTCTTCAAGGACTGGAGTGAGGGTGACCGAACTTGGAAGCATGAAGAAATACTGCACAGGATGTTTTCTTGTGGCCAGAGAGGAGATGTATGTACAAAGGCTCTGGATTGAGACTTGATTTGGTTTGCCAAAGCATTGGATTTGTTTCTGAATGCAATGTAGGGTTGCTGATCTCCTAAATAATTAAATTGGAGAGTGATGTGTGGTGTGCTCACAATTGCACTTTAGGAGGCATCTGTGGTGGGAGTGTGGGAAGGAGCTTAGAGTTGGCGAAGTCAGGAGGCAAAGAGCCCACAGGAGGCAGGAACTGTCCAGGTGTGAGGCTCATCCTCTGCAGTTGCAGGAGGCAGGCTTACAGATGCCCAGGATGTGGCTGAGGCAGTAGAGGTAGGGTGACAGATAAAAGAGTAGAGCTGTGTTTTCCATTTGCATAACAGTGATGAGGGGATGCAAATAGAGAGCAAGCTGTGAGAGAACATGGTGATTTGGGTTTGGGACATGTTGAGTTTGAACTATGTGTGCAAAATACTGAGGGTCCAAGTGGCAGTTGGAAACAAAGCAGAGAGGTCTAGCTGCTTGTCAAGTTGGGTATTTGTCAGGTCAATTTTGAGTTCCAGGGAAAGCATAGCAATAATAGAAAAGCTGCCTAGTTACACCCAGTGACCTTGAAACCATAGTAACTGGAGAAATCTGACTCAACACTGTCACCTGACACACGTGTCAGTGGCACACTGAACTGGTTTTCATGGGCCCACATTAGAGGGTGCAATTCCATGACCAATATTAACTGAGAGTTTTTGGCCACTCACAGAGGATCCTGGGTATTGTGCAGTGTACTGCATATTGTGGCCTTCACAGGAACGCCAATGATAGATGTAGTTCCTGCTCTCAAAAGACGGGTTCAGAATAGGCTGTCACCAGGGGATACAGCCGCAGTGTGAATGTGTGTGCGTGCGTGTGTGTGCACATGTGTGTGTAAGGGTGTGAGTGTGCCTGAGTGGCACCTCTTCCAGGTCAGCCCCACTTTTCTATGTTCATAAAGGCATATCCCATATCACACAAAACTCCTTTTCTTCAGGCCCCCACCTTTCAGGGACACTTCAAGGAGGAGCCAGGTAACCTGGGTGTACTTTCTCCATGACCAGCTACTGCAGGAGGGGATAAATGGTGGATGGTTTCACTTACACCCCCAACATCCCTCTGGAGGGTCAGAGAGGTTCCCAGGTGACCCCCCCCCCCCCCCGTCAGGCAAGGACCTGCAGAGTCCTGCGCACCCTGGGGAGCAGGGGCAGTGCAGAGCAGGAGGAGGGTCGACCCCTGCCCACACTCAGCTGTGCTTGCCTCCCATCCTGCTATCTTGTCTGCTCAGGTGCTGGTCCTGCACCTGACCTGCTGCAGGTTTGCTGCCTCTAAGGTGGTGTGAAGCTGTGTTGCCTCACCTGCTGCAGCGGTAACCTTACTGCCCCAGGAAGTCACTTCTTGTGGGGCTTCCTTCATGTCATTGCTGCCCAGCCAGGTGCTCTGGATGTCAAAGCAATCTTGCATACTTGGATTTCTGTGTGTGTGTGTGTGTGTTGTTTTGTTTTGTACTGGGGATTGAACCCCGTGTGCTTTACCACTGAGCTGCCTCTCCAGCCCTTTTTATTTTTTAGACAGACTATCACTAAGTTGCTGAGGCTGTCCTTGAACTTGTCCTCCTGCCTCAGCCCCTAAGTTGCTGGGATTACAGGCCAGGGCCAACATGCCTGGGACATGCTTAGATTTCTGGCTGAGCTTCCTAGGGGCAGTGTTCGGGTCTTTGTTACCCATGTACTCAGCTTTGGGGGAAACTGAGTCTACTGCTTATTGTGGTTTGACCCCATGTCTGAGATATGTTCTGTAACCTTACGCCACCTTTCTTTGTGCTATTGTCTCCCCCAGCCTTGTCCACGTCACCAGCCCCAGTATCCAGACCCTCCTCACCCTTCCAAGCCAGGGACTGTCTGTATTGAACAGTTACTTCTCTAAGGCTGAAAGGAAAACAAAGAGTCAGGCGAGTGAGAAATGAAAGACAGAGACCAGGCAGAGATACATACAAGAATTTATTTGTCAGAGCTGACAAATAAAGGCTATGTCTCCATAGATGGAGAGAGGCAATACAGGCTTGGGTTCCGGACTTTTCAGGGATTAGAGCCCAGTGGGTCCTAATGTGGGTGGATAAGGGTGGGGTTGGTATGAGGGAGTAGTGAGCCTTTCTCAGAAACATCAGAACCGTCCTTGGGCGGAAAGCAAAACTTTTTCTTAAGTTGGTGGCTATCACTTAAGATGGCTATCCAGATGCTAAGCAAGGACCAAACTAGAAGTTCAACCCCTGCCTTGTGCTCACTTCATTTCCACTGAAATGTCATTCATAATCATTTTTTTTATTGAGTTTGGATCTATGAATTCACACACCCAACTCCTTCCACTACAAAGTTGCTTGCAGATTTGGGGCAGAGGGGTGGGGAGTAGATACAAGTGGGATTACTTTTAAATTAATTATCCACACATACAGACTGTGGATCCCAGTGCCAGGCACCTATCAAGCTCTCAGTAAATCCAGTTGCCAACAAGAGCACAGTGATTTGACATGAGGTGCCTTTGGGTTCTGAGGACTCCAAGGAAAACCCAAAAGCCATACCTCTAAGGCCCAAGGATACCCAGAGAGCTCTGTTAGGCTAAGCAAGTCTTCTGCTTGGCTCCTGAGGAGCTTCTGTGGACACCAAGGACCAGTCAGCCCCATGGCTGGGTATAGATACCCTCTGGCCTTGTGGTAACACGTGCAGGCTACTTACTAACCCTGTGAACACCAAATGGGAGAATCCATAAACTTCTAAAAATTGTAAGTTTCATGAAATGTTCTAGAAACTAATAAAATTTTATCTCCAAGAATTGAAGAAAAATGGGCAACAACACACAAATAATTCATTTTTAGATAAATAGGGTGAAATACAATCCCTTTCTTCTTTCCTCACAAATCCCTAAGTCCAGCAGAGGAGATAAGAAGGTACGGAAATAACCCGAGGTGGAGACAGAATACCTTAAGAGCATTAGAGACCCAGATCTGGAGGTTTCAGGGAGAGGCAGGCACACTCCAATGTGGGCGGTGCCGTGTGCTGCGAGGAGAGGCTTTGATAAAGAGCCACAGTGTGTTCAAGCCTCGGATTTTAGTTCTTGTCCTAAGTTTGGGGTTGTTGGTTTTGACAGGCAGGAAACAGATGGCACCATCAATGGGGGTTAATTGGAAATAATTTAAAAAGTGGTGTGTGTTTGGAGACAGGCAAGGGTCAGAGAGAGAGAGACTAGAGAGAGCCAAGTGCATGGGGCTAGTGGCACCAGTGTCCTGGGGTGGCAACTTGCCTGGTCAGAGGGAGGCAAAGATGCTGCCAGGGCCTGTCAGGAGCAGCTGTCAGAATCCTGGGG